GGGCCAGAAACATATGCCTATGTCCAGTTGGCTACACACTGGCACACATGTGCAGACACACTGTTCCTAGAGGTCCTCACAGGACAGGGGTACATGGGACTTCTCTCAATTATACCACAGGATTTTAATTTATGGAGGTGATTGAATGACAACAAAGCAAAGACTAGTGCCACTGAGAGAAGATTTTTATTACTTAACATTTCCATGGAGGAGAATGGAGGCCATCTTGTGCAGGGCTGCATGCGATAACACCAGGTTTTAGTCAGGAGGCAGAAAAGAGTGAGGGGAAGCTTTAGATATAAAGTCTATAGATATAGGCTAGAAGCTTTATTGGAGTTTCTGCAGCAAAGGCTAGGCAAGGTAGAGGAAGCAGTTTTGGATCAGCTGTTTTAAATAAATCCTGCAGGCTTTCGGGGATAGACACTGTCCCTAGTTATGTGGACCCTGGTCCTGAGTTGACGTGGGACAGGGGGAATATTGACTTGGTGTGTGAGATTTAGATAAAAGAGATGGTGTCAGACTTAGTGGTCTGAGTCATAGGATAGATGTAAACAATGTTGGCGATAGTTTGGTCCTGGATACCAAATAGACAAATGCAGAATCTAAGAAGGCAGAATGGGACTGTATATTTTGCATATCATATCAGTTTTTTGATATGGGATCATGCTTTTATCTGCCGCATATCCTGAATTGCTTCATGTTTCAGTTCTCTACTGCCATGAAACCAACTATCCCAAAAATCTGTGGCAAAGCAACGGCCATTTTGTTTACTCGTGATTCTGTTAGTTTGGAATTCAGATAGAGCATACCTGGAGGCTTGATTGGTTGTCTATGTGGTCAGTTGGAGTCATTCACTCAGCTGCAGTTGGGTGATGGCTCTGCAGGACTAGAAAGTCCAAGGAGGGTGCTTTTTTCTCATGTTTGTTCACTGCCTTGCTACTCTTCCACAAGGCCTCTCCTTCTCCATGTGCCTGCCTGTGCTTCCTCACAGGATGGTGGTCTCCGGGTAGTGAGACTTCTTTTATGGAGGCTGACTCTAGGGAGGGTACATTCCAAGAGGCAAAAGCAGACGCCTCAGTTCTTTAAGGCCTTGCCTCATAAACCATAAATTATTCCTATCATATTTTATTTCTTACATAAAGTCACAGAGCCAGCTCAGATTAAAGGGACAGGGGACATATTTTCTATCTTTTGATTAGCTGAGTGATAATATGTGATTACCTTTTATTTGCCATACCCATTCTGCCTCAGGAAAACCTCAGTCTAGATCAAAGTAACTATTCAATTTGAAAGCAAGGCCTATCCTACACTTGAAACCAAACAAGTAAACACAAGTTATGACAGGCCACACACTCAGTATCTATAACAACGGATTTAACATCATGCCAGATACTTTCTAAAATATATCAAAATACCTGAATTAAGTGTATAAGCTCTTGTATGTTCAAGATGACTATATTAAAATAACTAGGACTGGAAAAAAATGAGAACTATCAAGTGCAATATGCCACAGCTAATACATTTTATAATAGAGCAATATAAAATGTATATATGAAGAGTGCAAATTAGTAATAGGATATTTATTTGTGGAAGTCATTTTTCAGGTATACAGTCTGACTTTCCTGTTCTCTCTAGCTCAGTGAGAACACTTGGTGCCATCCTCTGCGTCATCTGAGAGCCTGAACTAATTTGGGACTCTTTAGTTCAGAGTCAGGAGTGTACCTGAGGAGTCCAGGTAGAGTATTATATGGTTATTAAGAAGAAAGAAGACAGAAAGCTCCGGGTATCCTATCTCTGAGTCTCCGGACATGGAAGGGGGGTTGACATATATTCATTAGCAGAACTATTTGTCCTGGGATTGTGTAAACATTTTATGCAATATTATACATGCAATTAATATCTAGCTAGCTAGAGCAAGAGAGAGCCATCTGGAAGGAGGCAAACTGAATTTTGAGTTATCAACAATCCTGTTCTGTGAGATTTTATGAGGGGAATGTTTTCTTTTTCACACACCAGCATTATTTATTTTCAATAGACACACTGTTTCAGTGTACCTTGGTGAGCTGGACAGCGTGTAAACACCGGGAAGGAAGCTATCTCTTCTCCTTCCTCACTTGATACTGTAAATGTGGTTCAACGGTAGCCCCGGTAGCCCCGGGTGCATCTGGTTAAGAAGGAGGGAAAGGGTCTATTGCGAAGACTCAGATTTCAGTGGCATCCATTTACCCTCTCCCAAATAAAGCCTCCAAAGTCACTTCCTGTTCCTGGCTGCTCGACTGCCAGGACGGCTGGCCTCCCCTGTATATGCGTCTCCGGAGGCTGAAGAATCAAGGGCTACTTTCTGATTTATTTCAAGGGAACTTCACCACCCGGCTGCTTTGCCTGTACCAGGGCAGGGGTTGGAGCCCGGAGGCGGTGGAGCTGCTTTGTTTCAGGGATCATTCTCTTGGCCTTTGTCTTCCACCCTCAAGGCCACCTGAGTCAGGGTTGTCCTGATAAAGTATGGACTCAGAGGTAGTCACCTAGTGAACTTTGCCTCCCCCGCCAGCTCCTTCACAGAGGCGCAAAGGAACATGCAAGGGTCACTTGAGTGGAGAAGGGGGAGTATGGGAGGTGACAGGCAACCCTGAGTGGGGTGAATGGAGAAGCAGGGTGAACTGACGTTGGCGGGAGAGACTCAGGGGCGCCGCGGAGCTGATTAACATGAGCATTATGACTCGATACATTTTGTGTCCCTGCTACTCACCTCAACTGCTCCCACCTTGGGGTCACAGCTGAGCTACCTGTCTCTACTCCCCCATCCAAGTTGGGAGGTGCTGCCCAAGGCCACTATCCAGTGCTGTGCCTAATTTTTGTTTTCTAGGGACTTAGAGCCCCCTCAGAGGTGGCATTAGTGGTTACTTCCTCAGGTTTCCTCCCTGACACACCTGTATTGGGTTTCAGGAAGAAGACAATGGCACAGATGCTCCCCAGCAGGCCCGCCCTCCACCTTGACCTGTGGACGGGCAGCGTGGCAGAAACCTACTTCTGACATTTCCTGTCCCTTCTTTCATCTACTGGACATGTATAGCGCACCTCATACACACTTCTGTGTGGCTGGAAGGACGGAGAAGAGAGGGTGTGGGGCTCTGTCCTAGAAGAATCCAAGGCTCATGCACCTTCCTGCTGCTCTATCCTTGCCCACCTCTCGTACTGTGAGTTCACCCTCCGGACCCTACTTGGGCTTTACACTTGTTTCTGTCCTCTTAGCCTGTCACATCCATGCATGCCCATTCAGTTCCACTGTCAAAGGAGTGAATAGGAATTTTTAAGAAATGATTTTGCTGTTTTTTAAGTTACAGCCATCATTTCATAATAAAGACCGACTCATAGTGAGAGATAGAACACACTGGACAATTTGTGCAGTACCACCTCTCATTTTTCACTGCACATCTGTGCCCTTTGAGTCACCAAATATTTACAGGACTTTTACTCTGGGCCAGGATAGAGCAGCTAAGAAAGCAAAGTCTTTGTCCACAGAGATTTACATACTAAAGTGGTGGCAGATGATGGACAAAATGCTATTTGATATGAGGAGTGCTGCTATGATTAATGCTACATAGTGAAATGAAGCTGGTTAAGAGGTAAGAGATTAGTGATAGCCAGAGGCTCTCACAGAGGATGTTGCCAGAAAAGACCGCTCAGAAAGGAGTGGGAGAAGCCAGGTGACTAACTCCCGGGAGAGCCTTGAAAGGCAGAGGGGATAGAGGGTGACAAGAACTTGAGGTCAGAGCTGCCTAATGTGTATGAGAGTGAGCAAGGAGGACCACGTGGTTAGCGGAGTGGACAACAGTAGAGGCACGGATGAGGCAGGATCTTTTTGGTGCTGACCACAATTTTGTTTGTATTTTGAGTGAGAGGGGAAAACTTGGAAGGGTTTGAGCAGGAGAGTGAAAGATCTAACCTTTGTTGTAAAGGATTCCTGTGCGTCCTCTGTGGAGGCAGAGAAGAGTGAAAGGTAAGTGGTCAGTTGCCACAGCCTGAGAAAGCAGGGCAGGGCAGTGGGAGGTGGTGCTAGGGATAAAAATAAGCGATTGAATTGGGTATGCATTTTAAAAGCAGAGTCAACGAAATATGTTGGCTCTAAGGTCCTGACCCAATTAAGTTGTCAACAACTATTTGAATGATCACAGTCAAAGTATAAACAAACATTGAACAACAGAGATCCTGATTGCTAAGATTTGTATTAAGTGACCAAAGGACACTCACTAATGTTATGACATGAAATACAGTCAAAGCCAGAATGTCTGCAAATGATTAGTGGATGCTGGCTTTGCAGACATCTTTATATTTTGTAATTTAGAAAATATTTTTTTAAAAGGAGAGAGGTGTACAATATTACTTCCTAACTAAAGAAAAATTCCTGTGTAAATATTGTTTTGTCTCGAAAGCCAATACTCCAAGGGTCTTTGATGCCTCCGAAAGGCTGTGTGATTCCAGCATGTGGCCAGCAGTACAGATAGTTCTGGAGTGGAGTGAGATTTAAGTAGGCAAGGAAACATGTTAGCGGAACATCATGTAAATGGAATCTGGTGGCCAGAGACCCACGAAGGGACAGTGAATCGTGTGAGTTGGGGAAGTTGAACAGCCGGTAAGCCTTTACGCAGGAGCGGGCTGGCCCCGCCTAGATGGGTCAGTCTCTGCTAATGCAGGCCCTGGGCCGGGGTCAGCAGCGGCGCGCGGTCGGGAGCGGACACCCTGGCCTGGGGAAAGAGCCGCCGCCGCCGCCGAGACCCCGCCCGCCCCTCCCTGACCACGCCCAGGCCACGCCCTTCAGGCCACGCCCACCGTGCCCTAGCAGCACCGCCGTGGCCACACCCCCGCGCTGCGGCCGCCGCGGTCTGGGCCACGCCCCCGCTGGGTCGCGCCGGCGCGGGGCGGCCCCAGCCGCTTTGTGGGTGGAGCTTGCGCAGCCTCCAGGACCCCTGCGCGCCGCGCCCGTCGCCCCTGGCCAGCGCGCGCCGCGGCGGACACGCACTTCCTGCCGGGCCTCCGTGCGCCCCTCGGTCCAGCCGAGCCCAGCCCAGCCGTGCCCTGCCAGAAAGCCGTTCGCCATGGTGGACGAGCTGGTGCTGCTGCTGCACGCGCTCCTGATGCGGCACCGTGCCCTGAGCATCGAGAACAGCCAGCTCATGGAACAGCTGCGGCTGCTGGTGTGCGAGAGGGCCACCCTGCTGCGCCAGGTACGTCCGCCCAGCTGCCCGGTCCCCTTCCCCGAAACGTTTAACGGCGAGAGCGCTCGGCTCCCCGAGTTTATCGTGCAGACGGCGTCTTACATGCTCGTCAACGAGAACCGATTCTGCAACGACGCCATGAAGGTGGCATTCCTCATCAGCCTGCTCACCGGGGAGGCCGAGGAATGGGTGGTGCCCTACATCGAGATGGATAGCCCCATCTTGGGCGATTACCGGGCCTTCCTCGATGAGATGAAACAGTGTTTTGGCTGGGACGACGACGAAGAGGACACCGATGACGAAGACGATTACTAGGCCGGAGACCCTTGGCCTGGGGGAAGGCCCTGCACGCCGCCACCTCCTTCCCCCTCCTCCCACGCCGTGCCGCCGCGCCCCCCTCGCCCTCCCTCCCATCCGGTTCCCGACCTTCTGCCCTCTGTTTCTCTCCCCTTCCCCCTCCCCCCCACCCCCGTAGTGCTTGTCTTTGTTCCAGGAATAGCGCACCATTACTTGCTGCTGGCACTGGGGACTCGCTGCAAATCTTGCTGCCAAACCCTAACTTGCCCCAGGACCCTCCCCGGCTAATTTGAACTGTGTCCTGAGCCCCAGCCCTAGTTTGTAACAGGACCCCTCTTACAAACTAGTCAGACGACACACACAGCTCTGCGTGCGCCTGCCAGGCCTTCCTCTCCCAAGAGACCTCTGCTGCCACTTCACCATCCGCCAGATTCCAGACAGATCGCCGCCTTTTGCAATAAGGACCAACCTAGAAGATGTCTGACTTGGCTCCACCTCCTTGGACGTTGATTTGGACACCTTGCCACCCCCAAAGGACCCGTCTTCCAGCCCGGACTACTTCCAGAGTCCTCCCAGGCCTGCTGCACTGCAGGGGCCCAGGATGCCTGGCAGCCGCATTGTTGACATTTTTTTTTCTCCTCCACACCAGTTTTTCACAGCTGTCATTTGCCTTTCAAAATCGCAGCATTCCCACAGATGTGTGCATTTGGACAAAATTACTAAAAGCAAACAAAACTAGGCACTCAGCCCAGCTCCTCAATACCACCTGGAAAAAACATTTGCATTCTTTTCAATAAATATCAAGCACTACAAAAAAAGGAAAAAAAAAAGAAAGAAAGGAGTGTCTTTTAATGGTTAAGTGCGATCAGCTCACTGGCCTCTACCACTGTCATTCTGACTCCCATTATTCCCAGGGAGATCAGGGAACACAGTTCAGACCCAGTATTTACCACTCATCTCTAGGCTACAGAGGATTCTGGTCTTCCCCTTGCCAAGGCATTTCTTAAGCCCTGGTGAAGTGAGTGCCCTCCTGGCCTCCAGGGTCGGGGTGGGGGTTGAGCAGGTGGCACATTATCCCAAACTGGGACACTTGATAGTGAAAGGGAACACTATTAATAATCAGACTTGGACAACAGGCCCAAGTCTACACACAATCAATGCTCCTATCTCCCTGAGCCTTTTGGGTTTCTTCTTCAACACTGCCTGGAAAGTTCTGCCCCTTAGTCCTTACTGCCTTTGGGCTGTTCCTGACCTGAATCCAGGCTTCAACTGACAATATAGCACATTGTTTTAATGCCACATTCAAGTATTTGGGCTAACATGAATTATATCTTGGATCTCAACTGGGTAAGTGCCCCCATAATACAGAGTCATGTGATATTTCCCTTTGATTCCTCATCCACACATGCGCCGCAGATTCTTGCCTATATACAAACTGGCGAGCTGCTTGGCTGTCTGCTGAACTAGGCCTGACACTGCTCTCCGGGCTGTGCACGGAGTGCTCAGATTATGAGGGAGCGGGGATTGGTGCCGAGAAGAATCTTCAAGCTTTTAGGACACCATTCCTTAAGGTTAAGTCATTGAAATGTTCAAAGTAGAGAAGCTAGTTGGGGAACTTGTGGGGACTACCTCGGCCAGCCAAGAGGATTCAGGAGGAGGTGGGGGGTTCAGTTCTCATTTACATCTATGGGCCCAAATGTCATTGTACCCTGCATCAGCCCTACCTTAGGACCTCTAATTTAGGCAATAAATTTCCTTATTGTTAAAGACCTGTTGAGGCTGGGTATTCTTTTATTGGTACTGACAAACCTTGCAGTGTGATTCAGTTGGTCACCTCACAGGTGGATTCAAGAAGGTCACACATCTATGAGGTATTTAAAATTCTCTGCTATGTGGGGAGGACTTGGGAAGCTTGGGTTGCTATGTCCAGGAAGCAGGTTTCTTGCTGCAAGAGTGGCATTAGGGAAATGTCAGGGTGAATAGGAGCAGAGCAGGCTCAGGGAGAGTGATGATGATGTCATTTACTTTTTGGGATCTGACATGAAGTCATTGAGAGCCAGTTCTTGGTGAAGGGGCACCATCCAGGATGAGAGTTACTTCTTCAGTCTAGGAGAGTTGTTTCTGGAGGTGGGGCTGGGCGGACGTGACTTAGAAAAGGAGGTTGAGGTCTGGGTGGAAGTGGAATCTGGGCCCATCTAGGAACTCAAAAGTTAAATAAATTGCTGGATGTTTAGGATTTGTTACTTCCCCCAGTCTCTGAAAGTACAAAGACCAAGACCATGGCAAGAGTGACACCACATTTGAGACAGTAAGTATGAGGCCAAATCACTGTTTTCACCATAACTAGAAAGTCTTCACGCTGGGGGTGGATGTGGGAGAGTAGTATAGTATGTAAGGCCTGAAAGCTATGTAAAGAGACCAAAAATCTCCCAGACCTGTGAAAAGACTCAAAATTATCAGTGATCTGGGTGTACCAAGAGGACACAGAGATTCAGTGGGAATGAAAGGGGATCCTAACCCCCGTTGCTACTTTCATGGTGCTTTGGGCCAGGACAGGAATGACATCCAGGAAGAGAGCTTGCACCAGGATTAAATCCAGGGGTCACCCTTCTCAAGTGGAGGTTTAAGATAGGAGATGAGATGGTGTCCCCCCACCAAACCAAGGGCACATGTTCTGTGGGGAAGGAGGGGCTTGCTGGTCATGAGAACACTTGGCCAAGGCAGCATCTTGAGTAACATCCACCAGAGCTAGTCAAGGAGCTTGGGAGCCGAAAGATATATGTCCTAGACAGCAGAGTGTGTGTGTGTGTGTGTGTGTGTGTGTGTGTGTGTGTGTGTGTGACAGAGAGAGAGAGAGAGAGAGAGAGAGAGGAGGATGTGTTCCTATATCATGGCAGAGCAGGTTATACTGTAATCTGCAGAGAATGCCAGTGTGAGAATCTGACCTCCTTGAAGGCAGGTTCTACAAATCAAAGCACAAATACTCACAAGGGCTCTACCACTCAGGAAGGAATTCATGATAGTGGCCTTAGGCAGAGCAAAACAGAATGAAGGAGTAGATAAGCATACCAAAAGATAAAGGCACCACTCAGATGGAAGCTATTACAAGTAGGTGCAAATGCTGATATAGCAAATATGAACTTCAGATTCCTGGCTTCTCCTCTTAGGCATTCTGGACTTGAAATGGTAACTGAAATTATGCTAGTCATGAAATGGAATTCATCATTTAAAATGTGATAATCATTTAGTCATATCAAATCTACCAGTTTGGCACTAGATTTCTCTAGTCCTTGCAATAGGTAAGCAAGGCCATCCATTCATTCTATTGCATGCATTGCAGGATGGAATATTAATTAAACTGGCATGCATTATGCACATTATGTGTTCCTCTTGTCTGCTTTTGCAGCACAGTGAAAATTTCAGCACTGTGGAGGTAGGCAGACTAGAGGGAGAAGACTTGTTGAAATTAGAGTGATATTTCTTTTTTTTTAAGTGATCTTAAATTTTTTCCTAGGATTTCAAACCAATTAGAACAAAGCTAATACAGGAGTATTAAATCAAGGTCCTGAATTGATTTTCTCGATGATTATCTTTAAGTTATTGTATGAAGTAGATTTACTACTTTGAAATATGAATTTTGCTAAAGTAGCATTATAAGTGCCTGGTAATTTGCATTAATGAGTAGTTCAGTTGCATGTCCACTTGGGTCTCAAGGTAGATGTAATGAACCTGTTTGATGTCCTTAGTGCTGGTAACACCCTACTTCCAGTGATCATCTCTCTTGAATTTTTTTCCCTCCTGTCTGAAATGCCTCTGTTAAGATCTGGTCCTAATTTTCAAATGTTCTATTGTCCAGATTGGTTTTTAACAATGCAGTTACCCCGGGATGGGTAATAGCTTTCTTGAAGTAATTAAGAAAAGCATAATGGAGCAGCCCTCCCTGGAGGAGTAGAGGGGTGGTGTGAAATTCTGAAAGGGGGTTTCAGATACAGCAAAGTTGTATACCTCCCTTTATCTCCCCAAGAGCTGCTAAATTACAACAAAAAATATATTCACTTTTCTTATGATACTATATGTAACATTTGCTTAATTCCTACTCCCCTCCCTGAATGACAAATGATTTCATCAGCAAAATTGCAGTAATTATTCTATTTTAACCATTGTCTCTCTATGTCAGTTCAGAGTCAACAAATCAGCTCAAATTTACAACAAACAAGCAACCCCCCTCTGAAAAAAAATAAAAAAAAAAAACACCCTGTCACAGGGCTGCTTGTATGCCTCATTTTAAATCTTTGGTTATAAAAGAAGTAATTTCAGTAAAGTAAAAACCAAAGAGAATTATATTTTAGTGGTAACTGAAGTAATTTTGATATTTATAATATATCTCTTTTAAGGACACATAATTGCACTGCCATGTAGGACTTTCAGAACTGCTGATCTGAATGTACACAATTACATTTTTAAAATTCACACAAAAAAAGGAGATGCAGTGATTCCAGACTCATCTCTGGATTCAAAACCTACCAACATTTTTGCTTTACTTACAGCTTTGTTTTCATATAATCTCTATGGAATTTTTTAAATCAAATCTCAGATATCAAATCAGTTCACCCTTTCATATTTCAGAGTATTTCTCCAACAGATAAGATATTTAAAACAATCCATAGTACCATCACATGTACTAAAATGAGCAATGATGCCTTCATATTTAATATTCAACCATATTCAACTATCTCCAATGTCTTAAAAATATCTTTTTGTTTGTTTGAATTAGGGCTTAAAAAAATGGCCCATTGTATTTGGTTTACATCTCTTGACCTTTTAAATGCTAACAGTTCCCTCAGCCCCGTCCCCCCCCCCCCTTTTCCCTGTTTATTTGTTGAGGAAATCAGGTCATTTGTTCTATGGAATTCCTATGTTTTGGATTTGCTTTTTCTTTTCTCATCCTTGCCCAGTTTTCTCTTGGGCTGTTGACAGTTTTTTCTCAATTTTTAAGAAGTTCTTTATTTGTTAGGGATCTGTGTTATATGCTGCACATATTTTCCAGTTTGTCATTTGCATTTTTATGTTCTTTGTTATTTCAGGCTGTTGTGAAAATGTTTGCTATGTTTCTACTTTCCCTTCACTATCTCCCCCATCTCTGCACTCAGCTAGTTTATTTGCTTGC